CTCCCATTTCTATCTTGAACCCATCAAGTCCTCTAGTTGTTTTGATTTTTGCCTCCATTGGAAGAAAAGTACAGATAAACTTAGACACCGAGGTTCTAGAACGCCCAAGACACATACTGATGATGACCTACTGCTTTTTTATGAGCTGGATTTTAATTACGTTGTGGCTACATATGCAACTGCTTTTTGCTGATGATTCTTGCGGCGGGTTTCATGTTACAGGGTAAAAAAATTCTCGTGATTGGAACTACTAGTGAGGCCGGTTTCTTGGACTCGGTTGGCCTTTGTGATGCTTTCTCAGTCACATACCATGTTCCAACACTAAAGACAGAAGATGCCAAGAAGGTAAGAGGGCATCCAAACTGCCAAGATGTTGATGTTTCATAATGAAAATTCATTTTCCAGTTGAATTGCCCATAGTTCTAACATGAAGAATGGAACTTTTATATGAAAGAAAACGGTAGATAGTCATCTCTTACGTCAAACCATATTAGTTGGACTGTGAAGACTGAAGAGCAATGAAACTCCAAATAAATTCTTATATTGGATGCCATATGTTCAAAGGAAAAAGGAAATCCTATTTTTTTTGTAGAGCAGGTAGGTGCAGAAAAGCTTAACTAGGACATCACAATTAGGTATTGCCAGAGTGCTAGTAGCCAATAAACTCCTTACAAAAGAATACTTCACCTCCCACTGAACCAGAATCGCCGTGGCAAGAAGATTACTGAATAATAGCTTGTGAATTCTGACGGTGTAACAAAACAGTGGCTTTTGTCATTGATGCCACTAAATTTCTCAATATATCTTTATCTATTGACTCTCAGGATCCATTTTACTTTTTGTCTGAAACAAACTGTGGAGCAAATGAGTTGGTGATTTGAGAAGATTTCTCATCATCAGTAGGCTGTATACTTTGTTTTTCCTTAGTATATGTATTGACTCTTGAATTCTAGTTCATTGGTTCAATTATTGGAGATGTCCTACCAAATTCCTTGGTGATGAGTTAGAACTCTTGAACTCTAGTTCATTGGTGCAGTTACTGAGATGTTCGACCTAATGGCATCGCCATTCTATATCGCCCAAGTATTGATGTTTTGATGTTATTTGCAGGTGTTACAACAACTTAATGTCTTCTCAAACGATGATGTTGATTCTGCTGCTGAGGCATTAAATGACGTAAGTTTCCAAGCTCTGCTCCGTCTATTAGACAAGCACGCTTTCCATACATGTCTCTTCCCTATACGAGTAGTTCATATTTGTCTCATCGCCTCCTGATATTGGCGCTGCTTGAGAAATTGAAATTTCTGGCGCATGATAGGGATTGGTCAATAACTCTTGTTTGTGTTGTCTTCTGACAGATGCCCATCAAGAAACTATACATGGTTGTCGAAATGGCTGCTCAAGGTGAACATGGTGGGACAGCAGAAGCCATCTATTCTGGCAAAGAAAAGATCCAAATCTCACATTTCTATGATTGCCTTCAGGACATTGCTCGATATTGAGTGCTCAGTACATTTTTTTCCTGGAGTAACTTAGGTAGGAACCATGGTTTTCCTCTGAGTCCTTCATATTTTATCGTGGGCCGCTTTTTATTATACACCCATTGATGGGGTTCTTCTATTCATGAATTACTTTGAGGTGTTTATTGGGCCTTTGGAAGCTCAGTTCTGTAATTGGCAATGTAGTTAGTCTTTGTTAGATCTCATTCAGAAACTTCGTTTGCTTTCTTATCCCTTGTTTATTGGTACTCTCTTTTTCTTTTTTCTTTGTTGTTGCAGTAAGTATTGTAATCTCTATTGAGTTGAACTTTCCACCTAATACGACTATAATAGCTTGAGAGGACTTTCTAGTATGCTTGAAAGTTGAAAGCTTACATTATTTCTTTTATTTGTAGCAAATGTGTGTTTGTTCTCCTTTATCCATTTTCATTTCATCTGTTTGTAATGAAATTTATACGCAATGAATTGTTTAAGCAGATGTGCTTGGTTATATTTCCAGCTAAAGACATTAGCTCTTGTGACGTGATTGTTTGCTTTTCTAACTCTTTTCGAGTATAGTATGATAATGGGAAAAGGTCCAGATTTGTCTGACTTTGTAAAAATGTCTAGTTTCACCCTCCAGTTTTACCCTCCGTTAATAGTTGGGTTCAACTAGGTGTGGCAAACGGGCGGGTTAGGTCGGGTCGGATATGAGCGGGTCGAAAACGAATAAATTATCCGACCCAATCTGTATTTGAGACGGATAAAAGACGGTTTATCCGGCGGATAATATGGATATCCATGTTATTCATGATTTCTCGAATGTGATCACTTGTGGCCTAGTCTTCCAAATTTGAGGAATTCCAATTTAAGGCTTTATTTTGAACACATTATTTATCCTTTTGGTTAACTATTTTCTAAGTGGATAATATGGTTCTTATCCATATTCGATCTGTTTTAAATAGTTCATTATATCCAACTCATTTTTAATGGATAGTATGGGTGGATAACTGTTTTCTTTTTAACCATTTTGCCACCTCTTGGTTCTACTATATCCATACAGGGTCAATATAGAAATTGCTGTCTCAAACCTTACTTTGGTAAAAGTTTTTAACGGTAAGGTCTCTCTTTTAGCTGAACGAGCTAAGGTGAATAATAAATTGGGAGTATCACAAATGACTCTCGTTTCTCCTGCTTCGTCTCGTATTATATGTTAATTTATGCAACACACATTCTCTAATTTTTGGATTCCCATCCGGCACTCACATTGTGGCCTAATTAATTTGGATTCGCGCTACGTAAGACTCATTTAAAGGGAAAGCATCCCCGATTTTGTTCATTGGTGAAAGGATTCTATCCACCTCACTGCAGTCGTGTCGTTTGGTTGGGAAATAAGCTATCTTAGGATTAATTATCTCGAAATTAGTTATGTCACCCTCCCATAGGAATTAAAATAAGGGAACTTACACAAATGTCCCAAATAAATCTCAACTTACCAACCTCTAGCCATTAGTCATAGACTTACCAAAACTAGCCATCAAAAATTGAAAAACCAAATAATAGGGTTCTTTCTCTCAAAGAATCACATAAATCACCTTCCATATTTTTAAGCATGATTAGCAACATTAGATACAAGACGGAAAGGAAATTTCATGGACGGGGTAGCAAATAAGGTGATGAAATGCAAAAATCTATAATATTCCAAAAATTTAAACAAAAAAGAAATTTTTTCAATGGGTATAGTTGAAATTCATTGAAAATATGTAGATAAGTCAATATACAAAATTTGAGGAAGATTGGAGGTGATTTGGACTGGTTTTGTATCAAAATTCGTACTTAAATCGAGTTCAAAAAAGTCTTCTGCGACACATGTATCAAACATGTATCACGCATGTATCACACACACAGGTATACATGGATATACATGTGATACACAATTGATACAAATATGATACATATGTGATACACAAATGATACACGGTGTGATACACATCATTTTTTTTCATCTTCAGCTTTTACTTCGAATTTTCAATTCAAACAATCTCAAAACTTCACCAAGTCATCCCAAAATTGAGATTCAAGCTCCTTAAGTTGTGCCTAATCTATTCTAATAACACCCACTCAAAACAAAGCAAAAATTTGATATTTTTTTTGCTACAAATAGCTAATTGGCTAATTTGGCTAATATTAGTAATATTTTATCAATTGGCCAATTTTTGTAATGAGCTACTTATAAATGGACATAGCTGGTAATTTCCCTTAAAATAATACTACAATGCCGAGATTAGTTATAGCGCGATTTTTTCCCAACCTAATGTTGGATAAATTCGTCTTAATCCCTAATCCCTCGTACCAAACGACCTTAGTGGTTATGTGACATATTCTAAAGTTAATGGACGGATACCTAATGGAATATAAAAAAGAACTTAGAGGGTGTTTGGCTAAGCTTATAAGCTGGTCAAACTAACTTATAAGCACTTTTCGACTTATCTACGTGTTTGGTAAAGTTAAAAGTGCTTATAAGCCAAGTGCTTATAAGCAAAAAATAAGCCAAAAGCCATAAGCTGGTCACCCCTAACTTATGAATTTTTAGCTTATAAGCACTTTAAGTTTGACCAAGATTTTTACTACTTTATCCCTAAAATATTCCCTTCAAAAGAAAACTCCTAACCGATACTCACTGCCTCACGTATTTTTTCAACCTAGACCCCTGCCTCTTCATGTCTGCAATTGTCATTGACTATTTGAGGTAAGCAAATTCTCTATTCCTTTGCATATTTGTATCTATGTGATTGTGTATTAATCTTTGAACTGTATGTAATATTTGAGGACATATCAAATTTTTGGTGTATTGCTTTCTAGTGTTGTGGTGATGAAGACGGTGTTTCTCTTCAAATATTTTATTCTATTTAGATTTATTTTTTACTGAGAAACTTTTGTCAATTTAATTAATTATAAATAACTTATGACTATATGCTTATCATAAAATAAATTGTATTTATCATAATTATCTAATCACAATTGTATTTAAAATAAAATGACAAATAGAATATTTTGTAATTTGAATCGATCTGGAATCTAAAATTTTGAAAAAATTACGCCCTTATAAGTGTAAACAATTCTAAGGTTATTCAAGTCATTTTAACAGAAAAATAGCTTATAGGCACTTTTTTATCAAATACTGCAACAACTTATTATCAATTTCAGCACTTGTATCTAAACACATAAATTAGTTTCAACACTTAAAAGTGCTTTTCAGCACCTAATGTTTATCGGCTACTTCAAATCAGCTAATCCAAACGGGCTCTTAATCATCAACTATACCCACATTCAGTCAAATATATCGTTAGTTATCAATGGTGGATCTTACCTGTTTAGTCCAACTCAAACTCAAAAAGTCGAATAAATCAAACCGACAGAAAGCATTGTAGTTTCATCACTTAACTTTCCTTCCACAGTAATATATATAACAAACCACTAATACCGTTTTCGTACCAAACATTTGTTATTATTTATTCATAGTTAGATGAAAGCAATGATGCAAAGAACTAATTTCCATTCTTAAAATGTACTTCACAATTCAAATAATCAAGACGAATTATCTCGCATTTCCTGGTCCAACAAATCAATTTGCAGAACTTCCTTGCTTTATTCCTGTATTTGGGGTAAACAAATTTGACCTGCAAATATTTAGCTAATTGAGCTTGTATGGTGCCAAAACAAAACTAAGCATTACGTAAAATTTTGTATCTCCGCTTGTCTATTCAGAGGCCGTCTGCTACGCTTCAGACATTGAAGCCTTCAGCTCGAAGGCATTTACGATGAGCTTCAATCCATTTCTCACAAGCAGATTCACCATGCTCCACAATGCATTCATCTCTCAGCTTCTTAGTATCAGGGCAAGCGCAACAAATCTTCTTCTTTGGCTTTGAATCAGGCACAGCAGGGGCAGCTGATTTTCGATCTTTTGGTACTTGCGACAAAGATATGGCTGTAGATGTATTCTCTATTGGCAGTCCACCCATTTTTGAAGGATACTGGAGGAGTTAGAAATGAAAGATTATGCTTTAGCATTGAAATAGAGACTAACAGAAGTAAAACAACAAAAAGACCAGAAGAAGATGCATAACAAGTGCTGACGAAAAATGACAAGTGAGGCTTGCTCAGTTGGTAAAAGCACCTCCAGCCACGACCATTAGGTCCTGGGTTCGAGTCACGCTGGGGAAGTGTGGAAACACTATAGATCCTCCTAATTTGGGAGGGGATTAAAAAATATAATAATAAAGAAAAAGGTGCTGACAGAAACTACATTTTCAAATGCGTAACAACAATCCTTAATAAATAAGTTGAGAAGAAGATTACAGTTATTAGGATTCTGCCACCTTCAGTTTTTTCCCCCTCTCCTACTCTATGAAAGGCAAAGCTCTAGCTTCTTTGTTGTAATTCAATGTTAAACAACATGCTCTCGATTCGTCTCCTCAATTATCATTAGTTGAGAAACTAATCAAATAAAAAATTCAAAGGTATATATAATTTGGATGCCATCAGTAGTAGCTATCAGGATTATCTATGTTACCTAAACATAGAAGATGTGACCGAAATTACGAGTATTTTCTTTTGCATTCTAAAACCTGCAAATTTTTCTCTTTTCCCTTTACATTTGGAAACCTATCCCAGATAACATTACAAGAGCAAATTACTTCGCATCAAACCGGGTTTAACAGTGGCAAACAATTTCAAAACTCAGTATCAAAGCATGTTCAACAGCAGCAAACAATTTCAGAACATAAAGGATTCCATGAGCAGAATCAACTTTTTCCTCCCCTCCCGTCCTCCTCCTCCCCCCACCCCAGATAACATTACAAGAGCAAATTACTCGGCATCAAACCGGGTTTAACAGTAGCAAACAATTTCAAAACACAGTATCAAAGCAGGTTCAACAGTAGCAAACAATTTCAGAACATAAAAATCAGTTATAGTTTGTTTGATGGTATCTACTACTCGGATAACCGTAGTAATTCTAGAGCTAATACGTGCAACAAACCCCGACTTCTGGAAGGGATGCATTTATTAGATAAAACGGTCGACGCGGGCTCTGCCCGTTGCTGCGATGATTCATGATAACTCGACGGATCGCACGGCCATCGTGCCGGCGACGCATCATTCAAATTCTGCCCTATCAACTTTCGATGGTAGGATAGTGGCCTANACTTCCTAACTTTTTTCCCTAAGAACCCCCCCCCCCCCCCCCCCCCCTTACCCCCAAAAAAAAAAATCACACACTCTCCTTATTAGTTATCCTTTCCGAGTTGATATCATTACAAAATAGTCTCACATCTGAGTGTGTGTATAAGTATTTTTGAAACCTTTTACATATAAATTTATACCATATGATAAATAGATTATACTAGTAGAAATAGTTTTCTCCCGGGGAATAATTAATATCTCTATTTGGGCCTAATATATCATTCCAACATTTTGTAATATTAAGTATCCTAACACAAATTATGAGTTCACTAAAGCTAGAGGTTCGTTAAAAATTAGAGTCGTCTTCAATCAATAACTTTTGTGGGGAAAGGCAATATGAAGAAGCCATTTGGATAACAAACAATTCACATCTGAACCCAGTACTTTTCATGCGGAGCATAAATTTGCATACAAATTAACTAGTATTGTAACATAGAGTAGATATGAACCCATAAATTTAAAAATATAATGAGTTCAGGCAAGATATGACGCGGTTTCAAATTTCCGAGGACATGACCCTTGATAGGAAGGTGCGGAGGTCAAGCATTAGGGTTGAATGTTAGGAGGTAGTTAAGCGTTTTTCTACTTCGTACTGGGTGTGGGGCTAGCCTGATAGTGTTTTGACTTAGACTGCTCTTCCTCGTGTTCGTAGTACCGTACCATTCTTATTGTTTATCATTATTGCTTGTCTTTATTTTCTGGCTTCTGTTGTTGTTACTGATCTACTATCTCTTTTCGTCTTCTTGAGCAGAGGGTCTATCAGAAATAACCTTTCTGCTCCTCTGGAGTAGGGGTAAGGTCTCTCGTACACACTACCCTCCCTAGATCCCACTTGTGGGCTATTACTGGGTTATTGTTGTTGTTGTGTGAGTTAAAAGTTAAAAACCTTAAAAGTCGAACCCATAGAGTTTAAATCTTGCATCTGCCTCTTTCAACCCAGACACTACAATTTAGACGTTAAACGCATCCTCACTCAAAGAAAATAATTCGAATTCAAAAATGCAAAAAATGAAGAATAGCATGTGTTCGTTCTCTAATTCAGCAAATAGATTGCTTAATCTGTTTAATTCAGTTTGATTTATCGAAAAATAACAGAGTAATCAACAAGGCTTGAGTTCTAATATCAAAGTGGTGAATCACATAGACACAAAAATTCAAGGATTAATTTGTATAATATAACAAGAAAATCAGATTAATTTAAATTCAAGGGCTTAATTTTGCCTTACCTTTTTCTCCGTTGTTCTTCGCCGGCGTTTTGAATGCAGGACGGCGTTTTTGGGATGTCTCTTGTGGACAAATAACTTGCTACGTTTATTAGGAATGTGCCAAACGCGTCCGAATCTTTCTTTTTTAGACATATTCCTTCCCTTTTTCTATGAAAAGACAAAGTCCCCCTAAAGTTACAAAATTTGATGCTTTCCCCCACATAACTTTTTTTTGTTCACTTTTTCTTGACAATGTGCTCACATACTCTCTAGAAGAATATATTGGAGTAACTTTTATCTTCTTTATTCTTTTCTTTTTGATAATTGAGAAATTTTTGACATGGCACATGATTAAAAACTCGATGGTGGGTCCATTTCTCTATTCTTCTCCACTAAACACTACTCCATCTGTTTCAATAGGGGCGCTTATTGGTCGGCAGACGAATATTTACGTTAATGGTTTGGCTTACCGGCTATCGATTATCGATTTATAAATGTAGCAATCTTTTAGCCATTCAATAAGAGATCAGACGGATTGATGATATTGGTAGCCTGATTAAGAAGAATAATCATCTGCGTATGTGAGGTTCACTCTCCAACATGATTTTAAATACCATTTTCATAGGAAAATCAAACAAATCCAATCATACATCAAGGTCTACATCTGTTACTTACCATCAAATCCAATCATACATTAAATATATATGGGTAAAAGTATAAATATAAAAATTTTTAACGGGGTAATGGTTTATGCGATAAGAAAATTGAGTGATCCGCCCCTAAACCGTTAAGCCGTTAATTATAAAATGTCAATCCTTTCACCACCCATTACTCCGATAACCCGATATAATAAGCTAATAAGCCGTTTTTGCGATTCGATTAACATGTTACGATTCGATTTTCAATAACCCTATATTTCATTTATGAGATGTAGTTTGACTCGGTATGAAGTTTAAGAAAAAAGATTTTTGATTCTCATAATGTTTCTGTGTCAATTTATGTGGTCTTAAAAAATTAAGGGGTAAAAGCTTTGTGGAGCCATAATATTTTTGTGTCTATAATGGATTCTTATTAAGGGTAAAATAAAAAGTTTAAAGTTAAAGCTAATTCCAAATATATAAATACATCAATTTTTCTGGAACAAACTAATAAAAAACATGTGTCACACAAATTAAAAAGGCAGCCCAGTTTGCATCCCAAAGGATATTACATAAATTAAAACGGAGGAAATAATAAGTTTTTATCTGCAATAGAGTTCGACTTGTGATATGTATCTAACTCGCACATTGTGCCCGTTTGGACATAAAATTTGATGGAAGATTTTTCCAAAAAAAAATTCACTTTTTTTCGAAATTAGCGTTTGTTCATAAAATTTCAAATTTTCACTTGAAGATGCATTTTGGAAATTTTCGAAAATTTGAAACACTGCAAAAAGCTGTTTTTCAAAATTTTCACTCACAAAACTTCAAAACAACCCAAACTAAATTTTATGTCCAAACATAACTCTAAATTTCAAATACCATTTTCATCTGAAATTTTTTTTCATAATTTTTTCAAATTTTACAATTCTTATGTCCAAACGCCTCATACTTGTCATGCACTTACCATACGACCAAAGCCAGATAGGCAAGAGATAAAGTTCTATGTTTGGGTACGTATTAGACTTACTATTTTAAAAGTTACAACGAAATTCAGGTTCCTTAATTTCAAGAAGAAACTAAGGAAGATTACATCCGTATAAAAAGGAAATTATCCATATTGTGGTTTAAAGGTCAAAGTAGAATATTAAAGGCGTAATGACTTCCTCGCCATTTAAACTTGTACTAGTTTATAAAGTCGATACATGAATTTATATTTTTCTATTTAAACACTTTAATTTGACGGAATGAATACTAATAAACACTTTCTGTTGAACGTGTTCGCCAATCGTTCTGACATGAATGACATGTCGTATGTGTTGGTCTTTATTATATGACATGTGGATTTGTGGGTCCTATATTATTTAAAAAATTAATCTTTAAAATTTTTAATTTTTTTTTCTTTCTCTTTTTTCTCCGCCATACACACCCAATAGTCCACCAACAACTCCAAACCTCAGCCATTTTCACCATCATCTTCTTCCTCTTATATGAAAGCTTCATATTCAAATCATAATTACCTACCACCGAATCACACACTCCCCCCTTCACCCACATTTTTCCAGTAAAATCAATTATTGTTCCACCAACCTAAATCATCCAAAAAGCCAACAAATATTTATTTCAAAGTATTTCACTAAATGCCACCGGTATCAAAGTGACCTAATTTTTTCTCTGAGATGCTTTACGTCTTTTTTCTGTTCAATTCAGATAAGTTGGACAAATTTGCAAGAATTCATGTGAGTTTGACTATTTTGTCTGGCGTTTTGTGTGTGGGGACATGCTCAAAAAGTGTATTTGCACTGAACTGTGGCCTGTGTATATAGTCTGTGTTAAGCAATCTGCTCTTTTCGAGCTCTACTGCTCTCTTTTGCTTTGTTCATTTGTTGTGATATGTTGGTAGCTTCCTTGTTTTATTTCGTATTGACCTAGGCAGTTGTTGCAAGTTTGAGACAAGCTAATGCTTCCGAAATTCACGAAAACGACATAAGAGTATCTAGAAATTTCAATTTCCATTTCTTTTTCCAGTAAATCAACGCATAACAATTTGGACTACTTTTAGATTTGTGCTTGCCATCCTTGTGCAGGAGCAATTTAGTGAATGGGGAAGAGAAAGGGAAAAAGAACGGGAAAGGGGAGGGAAAGTAGGGTAGAAAATGAAAAAAAATTATAGGACGGGGGAGTTCGCTTGGGAAGATGGGAGAGGTAGGAGGGGAGGGGAAAAGAGAAGGGGAGAGAGAAAGATCTTTTTTTCTTTTTCTTTTTTCTTCTTATTTATATTTTCTTCTATTTCTAATATTTTTTATAATAAAAATAAAACTATTCACGCGTGATTTGCACACAATTTAGTCATGTCAGCTGTGCCACTTCCACATAGGCTTGGTCAATGGTCAAATGTGTTTATTAGTATTCATTCCGTCAAGTTGAAGTGTTCAAATGGGAAAAATATAAGTTCATGTATCGGCTTTACAAATCGATACAAGTTTAAGTACGCCAATATTAAAACAATAAAAGATAATTAAATCTTGTCTATTCACTTGTTTTTTCATTATTGTATCCCATCCTTTCACTTTCCTTCCCAACCCTATCCAGTGGCGGATCTACTTATAAGTTATGGGTGCTTGAGCACCCATTACTTTTAGAGACAAGTACTATTACTTGTATAAAAAGCTAGTAGAATAGCCTAAATGGCACTTATACTTGTGCCACTTTGTCATCCCGGTCCCTCTATTTAATTAAGTTTCATCCAGACACCTGAACTTAGTCAAAACATGTATTTTAAACCCCTTCGCCATTACCTGTTGGTCACTCGCCTGACGTGGAGAAAATATCATGTCCACATCAGATAAATCAATGCCACATCATCGACTTAATATACCTAAGGGAAAAAGTAATTGGGAAAAGCAAGAAAAAACCATCTTCTTTCTGGAATATAAAGTTAAGAAAAGTGCATCTGAAGAAGCGATTGAAGATAAAAGTTCAGAGCTTGAAGAAATCCTTAAGACGAAAAGCTAGGTTCATTGTTGCTGTATTGGCTAAAACGTTGAAGAGATTGAAGGTAAGTAAGTCGCATTTTGGGGATCTCAATAAACCAAGCAGCCCCAAAATCAATTGCTGGCCAATCATCGTTTTCTCCATTCCCATTTCGGCCTAGCGCCATTAACAGTTTAACACCACCCTTCAACTTCCCTTTTTCACTCCTTATTTAACCTCTTCTCCTTAGAACGAAGATGAAAATTCAGATACTGCAGAACCTTTCCGGAATAATTTCCTTGCAGCAAGAAGCTGGGAGAGGTGTTATATGGATATAATCGAGCGTTACTAAGCCCTAAGAATTAACGTCGTGTATCTATGAATGTAGTATCTCAGAACGCCTTAGCAATTTCCAATTGCGATTTGACAATTTGTTCAATCTAGCGCCTCTATCCTTAGACATATGATTTTGCAGGTAATAATTGGACTCTTCTTCTTCTTCATCAATTGATTATTTGCGTCCTGTTTTCTTGCTTTGTTTTCAATTATATACCTATTGCTTAGACCTGCTAATTACTGGACTTTAGTTACACAAAACGTTTTCTAGTTGGTGGTTCTTCTTTTCATAAGGTCGGGGAGAAATAGAGTTACGATAGGAAAGAGGGGGGAGAAGAAGACGGGGAGAAACGGGGTGAAATAAGGCGGAAGGGTTGGGAAACGGGTAGAGATACTTGGGTTGGGAAATTAATTTACTCTTTTTCTTTTTTATGGTTGTTCTTTATTATTTTTAAATCAAAATAAATATATCCACTCTCCTTTTTAGAGCGTGTAACCACTTATTTTTCTGACTCAGCAAAATGAATGACACATAAGCTCAGTCAACGGTCAGAGGGGTTTAAAATACATGTTTAGACTGAGTTCAAGTGTCTGGATGAAACTTCATTGAATAGAGGGACCGGGATGACAAAGTGACATAAGTACAAGTGCCAATTAGGCTATTCTGCCAAATTTATATAAATATATTAACCGAGCACCCAGTCTCAGTAGCAATTTTCAGATTAAAAATAGTTGAGCACCCACGATTTGAAAATTCTGGATCCGCCACTGACCCTATCCTTTAACTTCATTTGTTCTTTTCGAGAAACTCTCTGCATATCAACAGTTACTCCACTATTTGCAATTAACGTGCTAAAACATGACATCCATAGCACTAAGTTTTGGAGGATCTAATATAGAAAATATTATGGATGAGGTTGATGGAAGGGTATTGTCACGATCCAAGTCCATAGCACGTATTGTCCGTTTGATGTCTAATCGTGACAAATATAGTATCGAAGTCGAATCTCCCTCAGTACGATGGTGGGATAAACCTCAACGAGAACACTGAGTCCACAGGGGGTAAGTATGATGCCCACGACGGCGGGTGGGACTGATGAGGGCGGGACAAATAAGACTGGCAAGATTCTAGGCTGACAAGTTTTTGAAGAAGGGGTACAAATGTCACTTTAGATGAATCCCAGATTGGAAGCGGAGAGAAAAATGAGAAGTATTATAAGATATGACACAAGTTAACATGGTATGCGCGCTATTGGATCTCGAGATAACGTAGCACAAAAAGACGAATCCATACGGGCCTAACCCCAAAATAGACAATACGGGTCACGGGCTTGGATTGTGACGGGTGTCACCAAAGTTTGAATAGTGAAAAAGACACATCGAAATTCTATCCATTTGATCCAGAATTTGATCATCTATTAAGTAAATCAATTGACCGACTGAGTTGATCTAAAAAGGGACCCAACTAAAGATTCCTAAGGAATGAGTCATAGGCTCTTGTATTAATCAAAGACACTTTCATTGAATTGAATATTCATAAAGCAGGCTAATTTCATTCAATGCTGACAAGAATAAAATCATTTACTAGATAAATAATATAATTCTATAGAAAAATTCAGAAAATTGTTCTACATTTCAAGTTTATGTCTTTGCTGAAGAGTCAGGACAGCCCGATGCACAAAACATCTCGCATTTATGCAGTATTCGAGAGACGGTGACACCCCAAAGGATATAATATAGACAACCTACACTAATGCAAAGTGGCTGCTTCCACGACTCGAACCTGTGACCTATAGAAGACACGGAGACAACTTTACCGTTGCTCCAACTTGTGCCGAAGAGTCTTGGAAAATAATAAGATAAATTTTTTACAGAACCCAACTTCAGGAGATCACAAAAAATTCTCATTACTATCAAGAAAACTTACATCAAAGATAATTAAGGGAGAAAAAGGAAGTAATATACAAACTTATCCACACAAAAAAAAAAAAAAAAAAGAAAGAAGAAAGTATTGTACAAGATTGAAGCAGAGAAACACAATCTTTTTTGTGTTTCAAAATTTTAACTTGCAAAGTAGCTTCTTATCACACAATCATATCCATATATACCCCAAGCAATTCAACTAGTTCGGAATTGAGACGCAGTTGACTGATACTTGAACAAGAACGGATTTTGTCGTCTTGTGAATAAAAATGTAAATACGCAAACAAAGACTAATCAAACTTTTTTTAATAACCGAGAAATTCCTGAAGATCGGCAGCGTACCGTCAAAAATTCGATGGATAATGGACATAGTAGTGCACCGAGTTTCGTATAATGCACACAGTAGTGCACCGTTCGAAACTCGATGAGTAATGGACACAGTGGCACACCATTTGAAACTCGGAGGATAACGGGCATGCCCTCTATCACTAACCAAACTTTTTCTAATAACCGAGAAATCCCAGGAGGTCAGCAACACACCGTCCAAAACTCGGTGGATAATGGACAAGTAGTGCATCGCTCAAAACGCGGTGCATAACGGGCACGCCCTCTACATTGACTAATCAAACTATTTTCAATAACAAGAAATCCCTGAAGGTCAGCAGCGCATCGTCCAAAACACGGTGGATAATGATCACAGTAGTGCACCGTTCGAAACTCGAGGAATAATGAACATAGTTACACACTGTTCGAAACTCGGTAGATAATGGGCACGCCCCTCAACCAAGACTAATCATACTTCTCTCTCCAAGAGTAAACAAGAAAGAAAACCCAAGAAAGTCCTAAAGCAATGTCAGCAACAACAAGTCTCAACCAATCACGACCAAGATCCTCTTCAAGTTTTCTCTCAAAGTAAATTCTCCAAACAGCCATAGCAATATGAAGAAGAACACATCCTTTAGCAAAGAATCCATGGAATTCTCTATCCTTTATAAATGCAACCATGAACAAGAAAAATCCAATTGCAAATAAAAGTAGTCCAGAAAATGAATCTGATATTTGGATTATTAATTGATCATGTGGTGTTGACCCCAGAAGTTTACTAGCACGTTCTCTGCCATGGCTAAATATAAATACCTCATTGCTATAAAACATCATTAAACCTCCAGAAGTTAATGCCACCATAGAATGAAGAATACATAAGAGGAAAAATCCAGATGACCCCATTTATAAACTTGAAACACCCAAAATTATCTCCTTATTTTTTTTATGACCAAGAAATTCGTCTGGAGCCAACCCTTAGGAACAATTGTAACCTTAGAAACTCGCGGATAATGAGTCTGCCTTTTTATCCTTCTTCACTTAAATATCAAACTTAGTCTGCATGGTGCCGAGCTCGAACCTGAAAAATTATCTCCTTATTTTTTGGTGACCCAGAAATCACTTATTTTTTGGAGACCGAGAAATCCGTCTGGAACTAACCCTTAGAAACAATTGTAACCGTCGAAACTCCGGGATAATGGGGCCGTTTCTCTACCCTTCTTCACTTAAATACCAGACTTAGATTGCATAGTGCAGGCTCGAACCTGAAAATTATCTCCTTATTTTTAATGACCGAGAAATCCGTCTAGAGCCAACCCTTAGGAACAATTGTAACCTTCAAAACTTGGGGATAATGAGCCCGTTTCTCTACTCTTCTTCACTTAAATACCAGACTTAGTTTGCATAGCGCAGAGCTCGAACCTGAAAATTATCTCCTTATTTAGCTCAACAAAGCTTCAATTTTTTTTCCTGGAGAATACAAAGAGGAAAAAAAATTACAAATGAACCTACAAAGCTTCAATCTTTAGGCAAAAAAACATCACCAAACCTCTAAAAAACTTCAAGAATCACATGAAACACCCAAATTTCTATCTTTATTCAGCTGCTCAAAGCTTCAATTTTTATGTGTTAAGAATACATAAGAGAAAAAAAAATACAAACAAATGACCCTATTGATTTATCTTTTTTTAGGTCACAAAGCTTCAATTTTTAAGCATAAAAACATCACCAAACCCTTGTAAACATATTCAAGATTGACTTAAACACTAAAAAATTATCTCCTTTTTTAGCTCAACAAAGCTTCAATATTTATGCCTGGAAAATACATAAGAGGAAAAAATACAGATGACCCTATTGATCATTTGAAAAAACCAACATTTCTATTTTTTTTTTTAGCTCATAAAGATTCAATTTTTAAGCATAAAACATCACCAAACACACTTGAAACACTAAAAATTATCTCCTTTAATATTTATGCCTGGAGAATACATATTTCCAAAAAAATACAGATGAACCTATTGATTCTGTAAAACACCCAAAAATATCTTTTTTTCAGCTTATCAAAGATTCAATTTTTAGGGCAAAAACTTCAAGATTCACTAAAAGACATGAACAAGTCACCTATTATCAAGAACCCCATATAACAAAATAGAGTAAAAAACATGACCAAATGTTCAAAGAAAAAGAATTTCCTCAAAAAAACAAGAAATCTAAGAAAAAATTGGTCCAAAAACTCTGCCTTCAAATAATTAACGTATATAGTATTTTACCTGAATAGAGGTTTACCCTGGGATATGGACAATAAGAGTTTGGTCCATTTACAGCTTCACAGATGTCAGCTTTAGGATTTTAAAGATAATTTCTGTGACTGATCTGGTTGATGGCATGGACTATTTCAAGAATTAGAGAGAGAGAGAGAGAGAGAGAGAGAGAGAGAGAGAGAGAGAAGGTTTGTGGATCCAAAAACCAAAATCCTCAACCAGCTGGAAAGTGATGGAAAGAATATGAGAAGAGATTTTCTTTTGGCTTTTTGATAAAGAGATATATGGAAAATATCTCAGAAGTGTAGGGGCCCAATTTTCTATTTAAGAAAAAAACAATAAAGTTAAAATCTTTGATCTAAATTAGACGTTTTTACTTTTTTATTTTTCATGATGGTGCATAGTCAATTTACACATATCTTAATTATTTCATTAGATATTTGTTATTCCAAGTAAAACAAGTATGGAATAACTTACTTCACATACCAAAATTTAAATAGATCAGAAGAAATTACTTAAGATTTTTGCTGTTTTCTAGTCTTTCATTTGGTTTCTTCGTGCTGCCGAAACGGAAAGGAAATCTTGGAGCAACGATAAAGTTGCTTGTCGTGTGACTTATAGGTTATATGTTTTAGCCGTGATATCAATCATTAATGCTTGTATTAGGGTAGTCTGTCTATATTATGCCTCTTAGGTGCAACACTTTCTTGGATCATGCGTGAACGCAAAATACTTTGTGCATCAGACTGTACTTTTTGCGTGATGCCGAATCTATTTTGTAGCCAGAGGCGGACGCACATCATGAGTTGAGGGGTCACCGGCATCCAAAATTTTTAGCAAAAACTCTATATATACTTGCAAATGTCTTCAAAAAATAGTTAAATATTGGCATGGGCTCTCGTACCAATCGTTATGAGCAGTAATAAATTTATAATGAATGTCATGGTGCCTCGCGACGAGCGAATCCCGAGTCCGTCTGTGTAATTGTAGCCTTATACCTAAGATATAGATCATGGCAAGAAATAATGAAGTCATGGGCTTACATGATCTTTAAAAACAATCGTCATTGTTTTGGATATGATTGTTTTCTTTATTTTATTTCCTTTTTCTTACTAAAAAATTTGATGAAATGCAATCATGTTATAGATATCTCGAAATTGTTGGGGCCCCTCCGATCTAACTTTTTTTTAATATTTTTTTATATCGGATGTCCCTACCAGAGACCCCTCTAATCTAACAAGTTTGATGCATTATGGTGTAAAAGAATTTACACTATTAATTACTTTAAGTATATTTCTCGATAAGCATCAACTGATAATATGGTAAAAGTTTTTGTTGATGGTGAAATTACTTTATATTGTTGTGTATATGTAACTTAAATCCTAATGTAATAAGTGTACAAGAAAACTCCAAAAGAGAGGCCAGCTCAAGGCTCTCCATAACTAGCTCAATTTTTGAAAATTGAAAAATAGATAGTGTTCGAAAATTCGTCTAAAAGTAGTTACTTTTGATGCCGAAACACCATGATAGTTTCATGGATTTCAAACTTAAACAAATGAAAAATCAAAGTGTATACGGTTAAAATCGGGCTTGCCCGATTTTGCTATTCAATTAAGATCGGGAAATCACGACGAGGGTTAGCCTCGTAGTGGACTGGGCCAGAGTACCAAGACGGGGTTTCAAGTTCAAGAATCGAGGTACCCGTCGAGGTCGAGGCCAGCAGCGATCGAGACTAAATATGACCGACTTCCAGTGAAGTACAATAAAGGAAAGGCGAGATATCCGTAACCGGTCGAAGAGAACGGCGGAAATCCCGGAATAGATCAAATCAAGGGCGGTTATTTGTACCAATCATGAGATTTACTTCCGTAGTTAGAATTGTACCATAATTAGGATTCCTCTAGTATATAAAGGGGAGTCCCCATCATTTGTGGGGACCTTACATTCATACAGATCAAAGCAATATAACATTTCTCTTTTTCTCTGGTTCATCAACTTGTTGTTCTTTAATTGTTACTAAGCTCAAGGGTTCATTAGCTCGAGGGTACTGTCCATGCATTGGTTTATTTTACATTCTTGTCAATTCCCATCACTTATCTTTAAGTTAATCAATTGGTATTAGGTGAAATCACGTATCCTTAAAACCACAATATAAGTTTAATTGTTACTCAATTTTTAGGGTAAACAGTTTGGCGCCCACCGTGGGGCTAAGGATAATAGTGATTGCTTAATATTTTAACCTTCATAACTCACACTGCTTTTACGCTTGTTCTTGTGAGTATTTTGATTTTAGGAATCAACATGTGGAACTCTCAAGCAGTACCCACTCACACTGATACCGGCCTTGGTCTTCATTGCGAAAACGAACACGTAGTCGCCCCGGGAAACGGAGTGCCTCCAATCAATCCCGACGCACCACAGGACGTAGATCCGATTGATGTCAGTTCTCGTGTCGCCATCGTGGAGACTTAGGCGCCGACCCTGAAAATAGCATTCGCTGAGACGCCCGGGCAGCCGATCAGAACGCACAAAATGGTGAAGAAGGCGGGATTAGCCTTCGAATGATATTTGAGATGTTACAAACTCAGCATGCTGCAATAGCGCAACTGCAGAATCGGGCACCAGGCAGAATCGAACTCGATACATCACAGGAAGTTGTTCATAGAGTCGACCCTGTACAGGAGAAATTGAACGATAATGGATCAGGAACTGACCCCGCCGTCATGAAGATGCTCGAGGAGCTCACTAAACGGATGGAATCAGGTGGAAAGAAAATCGAGGCTAATGACAAAAGGTAGAGACGTACAACTCACGGGTTGACCAAATATCGGGGGCACCCCCGATCCTAAAGGGATTGGATTCGAAGAAGTTCGTGCAGAAGCCTTTTCCTCAAAGTGCGGCTCCGAAGCCCATTCCTAAGAAGTTTCGTATGCCGGACATACCCAAGTACAACGGGACCACCGATCCTAATGAACACATCACTTCGTACACATGCGGAGTAAAGGAAAATGACTTAGAAGATGATGAGAGTGAATCCGTTTTGTTGAAAAAATTTGGAGAAACTTTATCGAAGGGGGCAATGATATGGTACCACAATTTGCCGCCCAATTTCATCGATTCTTTCACCATGCTCGCCGATTCGTTCGTAAAGGCACACGCCAGAGCAATAAAGGTCGCAACCAGGAAGTCAGACCTCTTCAAAGTGAGGCAAAAGGATAATGAAATGCTAAGGAATTCGTATCTCGATTTCAGATGCAACACATGGACCTACCTTTTGTCCGACCCAAATCGATGGGCCGCGACGGGTGCCCGAGTCCTACCTGTCAAACACCCCTAAGCATGCATCTAAGATATAAACCTGAATAACATCTGCTGAATTACGAGAATAAAGTACAGGAAGGAAATCTGCCCAAAAAGGCATACATACATGTACGTACAACATACGTAGGGCGAGCCGACAAGGACGCTATAGACGACTATACATCTCAAAATTGGAAGCCGGCAGGGCCACATACTATCCAACTAGACATACTGTCTACAGACCTCTAATAGAAACATAACTGTACAAGACGGGACTGAGCCACGTCATACCCATATATATATATATATATATATATATATATATATATATATATATATATATATATATATATATATATATATATGTACAAACGTATCGTACCAAAATCAAAAGCAGCTCCGGATCAAGTGGAGCACGCCAACTCTCGCTGATCAAGGATCCTAAGAAGGAGGACTGTCAGCTTGCCTACCTGCACCTGCGGGCATGAAACGCAGGCCCCGTGAAATAGGGCGTCAGTACGAAAAATGTACTGAGTATGTAACGCATGAAAATTAGTACGTAAAAGACAGAGATGAAACATAGAATAAAGAAACATATCCTTAAATCTGAATAACTTTATAAATTCTGAAACATTTGTAATGTCATGCACGTGCGTATAAATGTCGTGTCATGCATAGGTATGGGTTTACATAATATCATCAAGCCACTGAGGGCATCCCATCTTATCGTCTCGGCCACTGTGGCAACATCATCAACATATACCAGCTGATCAGGTGGTGCTGCGTATATAACGCCGTAACCTTTTTCCATATCCCATATACATATATTTACATATATACGCGTATATAACGCCATCTGGTCATGGGTTAATGCACATGTATAAATGGGTGAAATGCATGAAATATACGTAAAAATCTCAATATTCCTTCCGGATAAACTTTTTCAACTGTGTATTATTCTGAGACCCATGAACAGAAGATAATAATAATTCACATGCGGAATCAAGAATATAGACACCCCTAGTATTTCTATGAATAGAATAATTTATAGAAACAATGCGTTTGCTCGTTTCTTCAGTATAATTTGAACAATGCCAAAAGAAAGAAGGGATGACCTTAACATACCTGGAGTAGGGAATACTGCGTATAATATTCCGTTGGAAACCTTCGTGGATTGAACTTAAAATCCCAAAAATCGGATTAAGTAAAAAAAATTGTTGAACGAGATTTGTTCCTACTTCTTTGAAATTTATGAACGAAATTTTTGCCTTGGATTCTTGGAAAGTTTGGAACGAAATGGCTTCTGAATGAAGCTTTTTTTTTTTTTAAACGAAATTTGCTTCTGCTTCAACGTTTCCTAAAGACAGAATGCTTCTGAACTTGGCGTTGAAATGTTTGAACCAAGAAAGAAAGGTTCTTGCTTTAGGAACTTTTTGGTGATTTCTTGGTTCTGTTTTTGAGAGTGGCAGTGTTAGACTTTTTGTTTGAAAGCCATCTTCTAGTTTTCTAATTGTAGTAAGTATGACTCTATTTTGGATGATATATAAATATAAGTATGAGGTGTCTTTTGCTTTGATCCTTGGTTGCCGCATATTAAATGACTAAGGAGTCATTGTGGCCTACTGTCACATTTTTGGAGGATAGATTTTATTAATTTTTATCCACTTATTAATTAATCGGGTATTGTTCCGTTACTCGGTAACTAATTAATTACCCGCATATTTAAGAATTGCCACAAATTACTTAAAATTCTACATATTTTTAATATACTTCATATATACTTTATACATTATACTACCGTGGTCATATGGTACCTTCCATGGTGCTAGTCCATAATTATCGGGTATTATCGCTTGACCCGTATTTTATCCTAAATTGGCCACTTTCAACGAAACCTGTTTTCTTTAATTCGTGTACCCTTTACCCTTCATGACACTT